TGTGTGTGTGTGTGTGTGTGTGTGTGTGTGTGGGTGTGTGTGTGTGTGTGTGTATGTGTGTGTGTGTGTGTGTGTGATAGCTTTCGACATAATCAAATCCAGACTGAAACTCTTGGCACTTCTTACGAGCATAATAAGAAGACAAACTTTTAAAAAGATAGGGGCCACTTCCTGTAATACATACATAGGCAAAAGCTAACTGAGTGATAAATCAGCCTTAAAATAATACAAGCCAAAGCCATCAACAATGCAAATGCCTCAAACCTGAAAGAACACAGAGAAGATTGATGATGCATTGTGACTCATCCAGTCGCGCATGAGCACGGTGACCACTTTTTAAAGTGTAATTATCTAATGGTGTTTCTGTTCACAAGGGCATCCCAGTGAAACTCGTTTCCATGGGCAGGTGACCAAATGGATGTACTGGGCCAGATTTATAGAGCTAGAGCTGATTTTCTGCTGGGAGAACACTCCATTTCATAACAAAAAGATTGGACCACTGGGTGGAAGCAGCTCTTACCTTTGCCATTCTCCACATCCTGAGAGGCTATGACAAACCCAAAGCCCTCTCCCGGCTTCCTCCTCAGCTCCACGTCAAACCCTCGCAGCGGCCGGTTTTGTTCCGCCCTGCGCTTCTCCAGACTCGTGTCGGGCACCGGGTCTCCGGCGGCGTCGTCCTCCAGGCCTATGTCGATCCAGTCCTTGGGTTCCATGGTGAGGGTGACCGGGATGGACTCCAGGAAACTTGTGCTCTGGATCAAGGACGAGCGCGTCGGGACCGGGGATGGAGGGGTGCTGCTGGACGTGCGGGGCATGGGCAGCGCTTCTGGGAGCACGGAGGAGTTCTCTGAGCCACCGGGGGGAGGGGGGGGCCGGAGAAGAGGAGGAGGGAGTCTCCGAATGGAACCAGGGGAGATGGATGAGTGGTAGATGCCTGATAATAACAGAAAAAGAACTTGGCAACTGGAAATAATTGTTGGTAAGTTACGGAATCACTGACTAGAGTAAGTGTGAGGGACGTACCTCCTCTGTACACCAGCAAGATGGCCTCTCCCTGTTTGGTGTGCTCCTGCAGAATTGCTTGTATCTTGTAAAAAAAAAAATTAAAAAGGGGGAAATATTTTGGTCAGTTTTTAAATTGATTGCTTATTCTGATCACTGCAGATATATTCATGACTATATTCGACATTAAAAAAATGGCTGAACCACATAAACAATTCAGCTGGATTGCCAGAAAGTACAATTTCATGAGAGTGATTTCACCTCTGAGCCTGCATTACCTGGGCAAAGCCAAGACTCTGGACATCGGCCCCATTTATTTTGACAATAGCATCCCCTGGCTGCAGGGAGTTGCACTGCTTCCTGTCCCACACTCTCTCCACCACGGTTATCCGGCCCCCCGGGCTGCCGGCCGTCACGCTGAAGCCCAGGCCGTTCTCCCCTTCGGCCTGAGCCAGGGCCACGGGGATCAGCTCCCCCCCGCTGAAGCCCCCGAACCCGCTGCCCACGCTCATCGCCCCGGGGGAGGACGTGCTGCTGGTGGGGCTGCCGTTGCCGTGGAAACCGTTGTAGCCACGGCGGTGGTGGTGGGGGCTCTCTGGGGTGGGGGGCGGTCGGAGGTGGTGGGAGGCGTGCGGCCTGCTGAAGAGGTGGGAGTGGGCGCTGCGGGGGCCGCCGGGGGAGGAGGAGGGCCTGCGGGGAGAGCCGGGCAGGGGCAGCCGGGAGCCCTGCAGCGTGCAGGTGGACAGGTCACTTTCGGAGGACTTCGACGCCCCGTACCGACAATGAGGAGGCGGCGTTGAAAGGGAATTGTTGTTGTGGTTACGGACCATTGCTGCCCTGAGGAATAAAAAAACAAAAAAAAAAAGCAAAGGAATGTTAAACCACTTGTTTGACGCCGTCTGTCCACGTTGGGCCCTGGGAGTCATCTGTGCTGCTACCTGTGCGAACCTATCGCAGACACCACCTCGCTGTCGCTCTGGCTCGCCAGGTTTGGGTCAAGCGACTGAAGCCTGGCCAAACTCCTCAGGTACCGGGGCGGGCGAACGGGGGAGGAGAAGGCGTCGTTGCTCACACTGGAGCGTCTGTATGGGGGGGGCGGTCTGGAAGCGAAGAACGTGGCATTGCCGTTGGCATCGAGGGTCACACCGGGCTCCATGTAGCTCACCTCACTGTGGATGCTGTTATAATCAAAGTGCTGGATCTGGGGCGTGGGCGTCGGGTTGCGGGGCAGCTGGTGGAGGGGCTGAGGCTGGGTGGTGGTCGGGGGCGGCATGGGGTCCTCGCCGGATTGCAATCTCAGTGGGGTCTGCTTGGGCCGGCCATCTGAGTTGTAGAGCATGGGATACCCCCGCCTAACCTCTATGTCCACACTGTGGCCCACAGGCACTGATTTGAGCATCTCCACCACCTCTTTGTGGGACACCCCCAACACACAAACATCGTTGACGTATACCAAGATGTCGGCTGGAGAAAGACAAACGAAAGCACACGGACAGAGATGATGTGACAATAAACGAATCCTTCCTGTTCTGTCTTGTTTAATTTTTTCTTCGCTTTTCTGGTACATTTGCCCATGCTTGAGGGGGAAGAGAAGTGATAAACTGTTTGTGTGGGTGTGGAATAATCCAGCCAAATAACTCCCCCCCGCCCCTTCCCCCCAAACCAACCTATTAACAAATATGAGCAGATCAGTCCCTCCAGAGACAGCCTGTGCTCAGGCCTCAGAGAGGGGTAATGCACTCCACGGGCGTGCATGCTTTGTGGGCAGGATCTGCACTGCTGTATTTGCAAGTGTTATGATAGCTAGATTATGGTGTGCTAGGCCTCAGGATTAAGGATTTTGATACACACTTTCATCAGAAAATGCCCCTGTCGACATCATAAGCAGCGCCGCTACAAGAGATTTGCAAAACACGCTGCTGATAAAAGACTTTTACCAATCATACTAACATCAAATGTCCCTTTACAAAACATTGTACAAGAACGGTTAGTTTTTGTTACACAATTTATCCTCTTGACAGTACATCAAACCCTTACCTGTTTTAAGTGAAGAGGGCCCACTTGATGTCACGCTGTAGACTTGGAGAAACTCCCTCGGCCTGCTGCCCCCCACAATGTTGAAGCCAAACCCTCTTGTTCCTTTGATCAAGTTTGCGTGCACCGGGAAGCCCCTGAGCTCTGCAGGCTGGTTAGTGAACCCTGGAAGTCGCCAAAGAAGATAAAGAGATAGACACAAAGCAGAAGACATGAAGCTTACCTCCGAGGCAAAGTCTTCCGAGAAGCGAGAATACGTGCGAAGTCTAAGTGTGTCCGGTGTGTTTAGTTACATCGAACTAGTTAGAACTGACAGGTTTTAGGAAGACGAGAAAAGAGAGGGAGTCATAATGCCACAAACCAAATAGGCAGATGGCTTTTAGCGAAATGCCGCACAAACCAAAGCATATTCGTCCAGAGAATCATTCGAGTTAAAACTGGTAACACAATCTATTAGCTTGACCATGTTCGGTCAGCACAGAACTCCAAGTTGTTCTACTCACTGTTAACTGTAGACTTAACAGTAAATGTGTGACGTGTTGAACCTTAATTTCCTTCCTAATAACACAGCCTTATCACAACTGTGGTTCCAGAAACAGCCATCATTTAAAGTCAAGGACTCAAATCGACATCATGGAATAATTACACAGTCATTCTTTTAAAAATGCTTTCACATGCAAATATCTCTGATCCACATGAATACTCTATCACCTTCTGCTGGTACCAACGGTGTACTGCATTTCTGGGGGACGAGCTGGAATCACAGCCCTCTAAATGGGTTTACTTTCAGAAGTCGTGACAGCCGGACATCAGAAACGAGGTAATTGTATTGTTATTTCAACAACACATCATCAGGCCAGTCACATGTCATCCACGTGTCGACCCCGCAGGCCTGTGCAGCAGGTCTGGCCCTTTGCCAGCAGCTCAGAGCTTTAGGCCTTAATCACTTACACGTCTTTGTTCGGCGAAAAGCTCATTCTATCTTATTTGACTCTAACAAGCCGGCTGTGTCTCCGACTTCCGTGCAAGAAAAATTGGTTGCTGCATTTAGGTCAGCACTTCAGCGTGTCGCATGTGTTATGATAATCACAGAGAAAGCTAAAAAGAAACAAAAAGAAAAGGGAAAAAAAAGAACAATAGATAAAGGTACTCACACTCATTTTTGTAGGCCGTGTCCCGGCTTGAGGGTCGAAGACTCAGCCAGCTGGTCCTCTTTGGACTGCGCCTGAAGGAAACAAAAGGGGGAAGAATGGGCAACGCTGTCGTCTCCAAAAACATGGCAACATTGATTGTGATGTGACAGTATAGTTCAATACCAATGAAATGCACACAAAAAAAAACAAAAGAGAATCTGTGACCGTCCTCCAAGAAATCTAAAATATCATCTTGTACTAGTTGTCACTTTCTCACAAGCATCTGTCCAAAAGATGAAAAGGCTCTTATCAGCAAGAGCAAAGTGCCCTTTTCAGGAAAAACGATGTAGATATGAAAAAGAAAATGTCACTGCAGTTTAGTCTGATACCCAGCTGAACTAAATCATTATCCCTGCTCAGTAATGTAGAGAAGATTATTAGATATCTCATTATGATTCTCTCTCTGAATTAGTCTGAAGTAAGTAGATACTTTGGACTGCACAGCAATCTGTACGTTTTATGTGCATGTTACTTGTTCTGTTGTTATTATTGTTACCATGTGCATTTTGAACATTTAGACCAATGAGCACATTCCACAAATACTGTATATACACACAAGAATTATTGTTGGAAATTGGCATGGTGTGGTTCAAGTACGTACAGAAGGCAGTTGAGATGTTGGGGAAAAAGATACTCTTTTTCTGTGCCGGGCAGAAAAACTGTATATTTTAATAAGACAAGGCAAAGATTAACCAGGACATTCCTGTGACTGTTCTAAACCCCAACAAACTCTTTGTTTTGGCTACCAGCATTGCTGTAAAGTGGAAACTTTTTGTAGAAATGTTTGTGTACCCGCAACCAGCAGCTAAACTTGTCCTGACCCTGTCTCTCGGTAGAAAAATCAATATAGCTTTAATAACAATGTTTTAGCAACAAAAAAAAGTTTTCCACCACGTTGCTCTAGATTGCATGTACACAAGTGAATTTTTTTTTTTCCCCCTGCATTCTTTTTCTCCAGATGCGACCACATCCCACAGAGCGGGCCTTTTCATGAGCACGAATCCGAAAATACATTTATCGTGTGTTCCGACTTTCTGCTTATTCAAAATGTGTCACATGGATCTGTGATCTTCGGAATCATCTCTGGTAACTCGGGGGAAGCAACTGTCAGTCCTCAATGAGTCTTCTGAACTTTTAGGTCTTAAAAAAAAGGTTCTGTGTTCGTGTGGTTTGATTCTGTACATGTGTCTACCGGCAGGTGTTGTTGTACAGCTCATAATTACTTGTTGAGATCAAATAAACCACCATGGGAAATTCAAATCAGCAGAAAAATTGCATCGCCCCCTTTGAGGAAATAACTAATCAAAATTCACTTTATTTTCTGCTGTCAGGGGAGATGCTGTGTTACCAAACCTCCACCTTGCCTCATCTTTATCTTTGAACTCAGAATAAAACCACTTCAAGCTCTGTTGTATTCACCTGTATCCATCTTAAGATAGTTCATAGGATATCCAATCAGTGTAGCAGTAGCTTATGAAATAACTCTTTGACAATGCAGCATGGATATTCCGTGATTCATGAATGACCACAGGTCAAAAAATTGTCACAGCATTGAGGTTTCTTTCTTGAAATAAGATTCTAAAAGCTCAAAAGGATAAACTGAAGTAACTGGTATCTCAGTGTTTTCCCACTCCACTGTGACTTTCTGCCGCCTGACAGTACTTTCTGTCATATGTAAAACTGGATGGAACTGCGGGTATTTGTGTTACCATGTAACCGATCTTTTAGATTTTTCGGATTTTGTGGGAAATCTCAGATGACATACAACTGTGTGAATATCACCTTGCATTTGCTTTTAAATGACCAGAAAAGGGTTACAAATTCAGTATATTGGGTGAAAATGTTTGAATAATTCTTTAAATGTCAATCTTTGAAATGAGAACATCTATTCGCCTTTCTTTGAATGCTTTGTTTCAACCCTAACCCTAACCCTTACCCTAACCCTTAACCTTCTCAGTCAACATCAATTCAATAATGCTTCAGTAGCGTTTAGGTCCAGGCTAGAGGTTTCTTCCAATTATTTCCTTTTTCTGTCACTAGACGTACTCTCCTTATTTTCCTTCCCTAAGAATGATTCCTTGACAGACAACCTTCCACGGAAACTATTTCTAATGATGCTTCTGTGAGCACTCAATACATCAGCTGAAAGGTCAGATGCATCTTCCAGGTCCACCGTCAGGTATTTTTTTCCCCACTATATCTTAAGAATATCACTTTCAGTTTACAGATGGATAGTTTTTAAGCCTGACACTTCTTCATTTGTCCTCCACTTGTCCACTGTCCTCAGATTTTTCAGGGACACGCTGCATATATTTCCAAGATACACCAAGTCTACAGCCAATAGCTCACTGATGATCATCCTGTTGGCACATACAGGAAATAATAGCAAACGATAGCACCATCTGTTATCAACGCAGCAAAAGAAATGGGAATAAATTGTGTCTTTATGATGGGCTGCTTGCAAAGAAGTGCCTTAAGATAATATCAACAATGTTTAACAAAGAGTCCTCCCGAGAGTTAAGTGTCTGTTGAATTCCCTTGAAATGGATCAGGTCTAAACACTTGAGAAAAACAAATAGTGTGAACGCACTAAACGTCCAAAGAAAAACTCATGAGAACCACTGCTCAAGAACACCTTAGAACACAACACAAATGTCTGCCTGCTTCGAAATAAACAATAAAAAAAATGAAGGATAACTAAAGATTCTTGTACTGTGCTGTATCTGTAGTCTGTATTTGGAGTCTGTAGGTCTGACTTGTGCAGTAAAGTTGTCTTTGAAAGTTATCTAGATCTGGTTGCCATCTGATTTGGCCTTCTATAATTCTAATTATGTTCTTAGATCCACTGGATGCAAGCATTTTGCTTAATCTGCCTCCCCAAAAGCTACCAGTAATCACATATACATAGTTATTTAGGGAGATCCCGAACCAAAGAAAAAATCAACCAATTTGCTTACAACTATTCAAAACACAGGTATCAACATGACCCCAAATATCAGCTTCCAAACTACAAAACAACACATCTACATCTAAACTCGAAAACTATCACCTAGTTCCTGAGAACTTACTTGATTTTGAGACCTTTTGAGAGACAAAAATACCCTAATATGGAAGCTCCCTCTTTTTCTTTGGGGCTCAGCCGTTGCTCCTTTGGAACTCCAGCGGGTCCATGGATATCAATCTGCCTGCATGCACAATTACCAGAGGAGAGGAGGGATGCTGGGCTGCCTCCTTATCAAGAACACAACACTGTGTATGCGTAATTCATAAATTTGGCGAGTAAATAAAGACCCCTGCTGTTGAGAAAAATTGAGCTGCTTTGCATAGCTTAATAAGGAGATGGCTCCTGTGTGGTCTGCCTATGCCCATGCTCTCTTTTAACACTCGTAGCAAATCTGCACATCAGCTCTTCTTTGTTGGGGACATTTTTTGAAAGCAAATTTACTTTTACAACTACTCTTTCCTTTTAAAGCTCGAATAAGCTAAATAAACCTCTAACTGACCAAAAAGCACGCCCTCCATACCACCATGCCCGCCAGGCTAGCTGTTTAAAGTTGTTTCTAGTCTTTAGATGGTCCAAAGCAGCTAAACGTCTCCTCCCTCACATGGTTCGCAAGATAGAAAAACCATACTGATCATCTCATTAAAGATGAGTGAAATAGAGAATGAAAACAAGTATGAAAAATACAGTTTGTTTTTTTGCAGGATCAGTGATCAAAGGGTGGGAACTCACTCAGTGTACAGTATTTCTCCTGGGTCACTGAAGGCTTGCTCCCAGTGGTCAGGCATCACGCCTCTAATTCTGGCGCCACTTCTGCTGCCGATTATCCCGTTCTCTATAGCGTGACCATCACCTCCGCTGCTGGATGCCCGGGGCCGACCGGTGGACCGGTGGCCCAGAGGGATGCTGTTGCTGATACTTGCAGAGCCTCCTTTAATGACAATTGAAGGAAGACAGTGAACAAAAACACAATTGAATGCTGATTTATTCAACAAAAGTAGAAGGTGCACACTTTCCCGGGCAGTACATTGGCTTGGTGCTGACAGTTCCACTGGATCTTGTCAGACAAAAGGATATGAGGTCAGCATCTCTGCCATCTTTGCCCTCCCTCTGAGGAGAAAGGGCGTGTGCCCATGCATGCATGCCATACGACTTGCATGAGAAACATCGGCCTTTTTCCCTCCGCTATCCTTGGAGCTGTCCTTCAGCTTTGGGCTCCAGCATGGATCTGAGAGACTTTGGACACTGGGTGTCTAGAGTCCTGCTGCAGACGACATGCACTGCTGACCCATCCACCCACACAGTTACACTTCAAAGGATGAGTCAGCAGAGGGTCAGGGTGTTGGATGACTCTGTCTTCAGGCGCCATCCTGTTTTACCCAACAGTTTGAAGAACATTGCTAACTATCTGGATGCCTGCCGGCCTGCATGTCCCTTTTTCCCACCTTGCTTGGCTCTCCCCTGTATTCTGCAGTACCCTGGCACCCTGCCTCCATCCTTCCTGAAGCCCAACGTGCCAAAAGCACCACCCTATGTTACAGCTGTCTTACCTTTACCTGACCATTAAATCCCTTATTCACCTCCTGTTCAGCTCTTCCTACCAAAGGCATCTTACAGTACTGATGTACTTGACCATAAAAGATTTTGTTTCAATATGTTCTACATTTATTGCAATTGTTGAACTTACCTGTTTCTACCAAACCCCCCCTTTGCCTCTAAATGGTTTATAGATCCAATTTTGAAGTGATTAGCATTTTAATTTCGTAGGATGTGGTAACACAAGCTGCAAACTGCAGCCAAATGAATAACTTTAAGCTGCTCCAAACTACTCTGGAGATAATGTTAAGGTTGTTTCCTCTTGATGACATACACGTCGTTTGGGGTTTTTAAATATACTTTTACAAATAGTAAAATATTCTAAATAAATTATTACATTGAGGCAAATACTTAGAAACCTCCTATCTTGATACAGAAAGAGCTGTGACTGTTAATATGGGCAATAACCACCTCTCTTCATTATATGCCTTTTTAAAAGATGAAAAATATTCCTAAATTAATATGTCAATCCTAAATTAAGACATTTTTATCTTTAATCCTTTTGGAAAACAAGTTTTTTTTTTAAAACAACTTGAGCAGAGTTTTTGAGTTTTTACTATTTAGACCATGACTTTTTTATTTTTAATTGAATAATTTCTCTATCTTTAAAACTTTTTGGCTTGTGAGTGATGACAAAATGTGGAGAGCTCATCAAATTTTAGCAGCTTGTGAATATTTTCTGCAATACCACCAGATTGACATTTCCCTGCAGACTTCAAAGGGTGGTTTGAGAAAGTCCCAAATGCTCTCATGACTGTTGAGAATCAATTTAGACCATTTAGTGACACTGTGCTAAACTGTCTCTGTGCAGATAAAATAGTTAACATTATACACATCAAAGCATCATTATAAATGACCTATTAATATTCATGCATTTGCCAGAAGTAGGTACCATTTTCCTAAGTGCATTGGTGCACTGCTGATGATGTATTTACTGATAAAAACTGATGATTTTACTCCTTTTTCCCCCTTCCTGGTGATAAATGCATTTTTCAGGGCCACTGTTTAACTCATCGATCACATCTAAAATATACAAATCAGCTAGATGACAGGGAGAAACAACAAATAACAAATTGTATGAGTCCGCACTAGGAAACGTTGATTATTTCCTAGAATCAGTTCTGACCATTTCTTTTCATAGTTTTTTATCTCTTCCCTTATGTGTGTAGCTGTCCGACTGCTTCTCTGCCTGCTCACCTAAACCAGCGTGACCTTCCTTTGGAGGTGATCCAACAATCAATGAGGCCACAGCTCCACTGAGAATTTTCAGCACACTAATTGTCCTAATGATTGATTTATTTGGGCATCAGAGGGTAAAGCTATAGATAGAGAAACACTGGATACTGGGTTAGGTTTTAGCAGATACAATATGTACGTTTTTGTCTATATGTTTTTTTCAATAACTTGACAAATAAAAAATGGAAAAAATTCAATACATTATGTAAGAAACAGCATCTGAATTGCACTTTCTTACATTAACATTCATGGCATTGATCACAGCAGCCATCATTTAACAGAGCAAAACTTGCCTGACAGGCCGAAGTCTTCGTCGTGGTTTATGCCCTCCACTGCAGCCTTCTCCAGGTTGCTGAGCGATTTGCTGCGTGTGCGGAAGTTTCTGAGCAGGTTGCGGTGCTCCTGGTAAGTGATGGGGGGGCTCTCTGCGCTTATGTGAACGGGCCGGGGCGTGCCATAGTAGTTCCCTGAGACAGGTTGGACAATTAAAACATGTCCATGCAAAGAGCATTAAATGGTAAAAGTAAATAAAGGGTGAAAAAGATTTAATGAATGAGACGTCCATAGGTTAGGATTTAGAATATAAATGTTATGCCTGATACTGGCAGGAGCTCAAATTACAGCCAGTATTGTAAATCAGGCCCACTGGCACACCATAAAGGTCACAGAATGTGCACATTCTGCATAAATATGCCTTTATATGTTATGATGTAACTTCATTCCTGAGGTAAATAAAATCTGTTACTTACAATCCCAGAGCAGGTATTTGCCATTATGCACATACAGAGGACATTCTACCTATGTTTTGTTTTTTAATAAATATTATGTACCCCCTGAGATTACATACTGTTTTTGTTCTAGCCATCTGCTCCAGCTTCTAAAAACGAAATGAAATTACCCCCAGCTCCCCCCGCCATTTGGCTCATGGAGATCCAAATGGGTAGAGAGGAAACATTAGATTAGTGAACTCAACAGCAAGGTCACCAGCCGCCACCGTTTACTTCAGTTTTCTGCAGACTACTGCAGGCACAGACCTGCTGATCCTGATAGCAATGTGTCCGTCAATGTCACATGTAAGGCAGGTGAGGATGACATTTATTGCCCCCATTAAACTCTTATAAATTATGGATGCTAATGCGTAGAGGCCTTTTAATCAGAAGCAGCAGTCTCACCATTACAGAGGGAGGAAGAGATGTGATAAGCAACACCCGGAGTCATTAATATCCACCAAGCCATAGCTTTTAAACGATCTCTGTCACTGATGGTGTGAACCCAGTTCTTTTTACTAAAAACAAAAAACAGCTAATTCATGTTTCGTTGGTCTCCAAAGTACAAATCATTTGGGGACAAAAAAAAAAGGTGATTCGGGCAAACATGAATTCTTGTTGGTGAGCTAACTGTAAAATGGGAATCGTTCAAAGATCTGTACAGAATGCAAACAGTCTAAAGCGACTGAACACTACCTACCTAAAAGTGTGAATGTATGGAGAGAGAGTCTGTCTTTCTCTTTGCAACAGTGAAAAGAAATAATAAGGTGATAATTCAGACAAACTCCCATCTTCACAGCTAATATTCAACAGAGGTTGTTTCATGTTTCAATCTGGAAAGATGCAGCAATGTACAGCATTGTGGGTTTATGTGCGGGCTTATGGAATATTCTTTCCTGCCAAACTGTTTTTCAGGTTTTCATAGGTTTAAAACAAGCAAGTGACATCCGTCTTGCTTTCTTTCTGCCATTATCAGACGGAGCCAAGCTAGCTGGCTACTTGTGGAATCAGGCAGACTTAAAACAAGTCATCAACTATAGCTTGAAGGACACCTTGATGTTTTGTTTGCATCTGTATCTGTTGCCATCTTTAGCTATGATGCATCCCGAGTCCCTCCAGCTGCGTGGGTCACTTGGCTTATGTCAAAATAAGGTATGCAATTATTGCAGTCTCAACCTGCCTAAAAATGTGTGTTTTACAAATCACTGCACTGTAATACATTGTCAGATATAATCAAATCATACACTAAAACACCCATTCTGCATACAGCCCTGTAGCTTTGCATTGTCAGTAGGTTTTATATTGATAATTTATGTAAGAATATACATTATATAAAAATCTATATTTCAGGGTCAAACTAAAACATTATTATCAATGTAAAAAGGGATGTTCTGTTAAGCTCTGTCACAACCTAATGTCTAGGGTCCCTTTCATATTCAGCTTTGTTAAGTCACTTTTAATGAATAATTCATCTATCGATTAAGTCTCTCCACTAAAAATATTGGGATACATTACTAAACGTTTGGATAATGACACCATGCATGCTGAGATGAGTCACCTTTCTGTTCCCCTCTGAAGAGACTTGTACTTTAATTGTCAAAATTCTCCTCGATGCTTTAGCCCTACCTTTGAATTTCCCACTTTCAAGCAGTGCTCCCGACTCCTCCAAAGAGAAGAACTCCTCGATGGATACAAAGTTGTAGTCGACGCCTGAGATCTCCCCCTCTCTGGGCTGCCTGGTGGTGCCTGTGAGTGAGGACATTATGCCATAGATCAGAGCGCTGAGGCCACATGAAGCGCCGGCTCTGACGTGGATGATATATCAACTAATCAAAGCCAACTACTCCCATCAGCAGTCGTCAATCAGACACTCAGTATTTACAGCTGCAAAACCGGTTGAGGCCGACATTAGTCTGACAAATAAAAAACATTTGAACAGACAAATGAAAAAACACAACCGAGGAAATGGAGGCGTTGATTGGCAGCTAATGTATTTCTGTGCTGTTGCAGAATGAGCCCCAGCTCAGAGCGGCTTCCAACCTCAAGCCATGATTCACCCTTACGTATGATGACAGTAGGCATTTACCAAAGGGCTCTTTATTATGAACTAATCAATAAATGAAACATTAATGAGGCTCTGAGAAAGTCTTAAAGTCATTTTATCACTACTGCACAGGAGGGCCACTCAGGTGATCAATGATATGTCACCATAATCGATTTGCATTGACCTTGGCCTAGAAGGGTCCAAACCACAGCAGGAAAAGCATCCCGCATCATTACGGCATCAACGCATTTGCTTCCTTTCAACCCAAATTCACATGCGATCAAAATTCATATACAGACATGTGGTGTTTCTCATTAAGAGCGTGGGGTAACCCTAATCCGAATATAGTCAGAATGATGTAAAGCGCCCATTCTGACCTTGAAGGGAGTCATTTTTTTTCATCCACGGACAGAATCGCACCGAACCCAAAGTAAAGACAAATCTCCGCCCTTCTCCTGGAGGACCACATGTGACGTCCATGTGTGAGGCCAGCGGGAGGAAGTCACACCCAGATCCCCAATAAAACCTGTGATTAATGCACTGCTGTCCCGGGAGCAGCTCTCTCTCCCGGCCACAATGACACGGGCAGGACGGGAGTCGCCGAGCTCCAGCTCACAAACACACAGGCACACTCAGAGGGACGGAGACAGGAAAAGCAAATCCACTAATATCGCAAAAGACGAAAATAAGGATTCACACACCCTGCAGCCATCGCACATGTAGACTATCCGCCTGTGTGCTCCGCTTTGCAGCACTTTGTTTACCACACAATTTGTGTCTCAACCACGTATCATGCCAGTAATAAACCATGCAACTGGAATGTGCATTGGACTCATTTCTTCAATCAAACCTAAATACATCCTTGTATATGTTGCATGCCACTGTATGATTAATAGATGGATCCATGCACCCTCTGGTCCCTCATGCTTTTAAAGGGATGCCCATACCCTGTGAATGTTACACAAATATAAAATCTCCATCTCTATCTTCTGACACTTTCATGGGTCCAACATCCCAGTATCATTGCTATCTAATATGGATTTATACTTCCGATCTGTAAAGTCTGAAATTATAGGTATCTGCATCTAATTAAAGCTCTGATGAGAAATCTCCTGATGACATGTGCATAATTGTTCTCCTCCTCCCAGGACACACATCCCTCCAGAGAAGATGCGAGCCAGGAATTCATCATCTACACACCCTCCTCACACACACACACACATATATATATAGAGAGAGAGAGATATAGAGACATAGATATAGAGATATAGATAGATAGATATAGATATATATAGCATGTCGGGTGGGGAGACAAAATGGATTATTGACATCTTCTTCTTCCTTGCCTGTCCCTGTAGGCACAGGCACACTGATCCCCTGGAACATGGGTGAGAGAGGGATTGAAGAGGTAATTACATAGAACTCTGTATCAACACCCAGGGAGAGGTGTCTATCAAGATCAGCGCACACAAACAGCAAACAATGAATCCTGCAGCTGCAAAGGCCACAGACAGTCTGCCTGACATGCCAGAGCGAGCATATTAGAATAACTAAATGATGATGTGTCTTATCTCTGACTCACCACGAGGAAAATTAGAAAAGTCTTTTATGGGGGGGGGGGGAGACAGAGATGCAGCCAGCCTTGAGAGCATGACTTTGGCTTTGAATCATCCAAGGGCAGATGTACAAATACCACATCTTTGTGTGACTGTGTGAAGAAGGATGGGTAGGTTGAAGAGGGTGAGATTCTAGTCTGTGACACCTGGCACACACACTAGAGTAATTAAAATGCAGAGACAAAAAAGGGGTCTTTTCTATCCTTTCAAAACGGAACAGTTGATGAAATAGTTTGTTGCAGAAAAAAGGCGACAGAGAACAGCGTGCTTCCCTGACAGCTCTGTACTGTCCAGGGCTACACCGTAAGCATCCTGTCTGCCTCAGTATTAGCACACAAGTCCATTAGACTGCAGTCATCCCCTCCTCCACTTTGGCACTGATATAGATTTGCTTTTAATTTAATTCCCCCCTCTAGATTATTGATACTGCAGCCTCCGTTTACTTAATTCTATCGGTCATTTCCATTTTTATGCACGGCCCTCCCGACTGAGCCTTTGTAATATTATTTCTTGTATCAGTGCCAGCTTCACTATCACAGAATATTGTCTCATCAAAAGGATTCCACGATTAAAATACTCTCTAAATAGCACAGAGGCAAAAAAGCTACATTTTCACAGGGAGACAAGGCATCTACAGCATCTAAATGAAACATAAAAAGCAAGCAATGATGCCTTGTCATAAATACTTTGCTTCCTCTCTATATGAAATCTCGAAAAGCTTAGACTGAAGCTAATTAATCATAATGTGACACAATTCAAAGTTTGAATAATGCATTAAAAAAAAGGAAAAATAAGAAAGTGTCGAGAGAGAGACAGAGAGGGAGAGAGAGAGAGAGAGCCGGAAGAACGTACTTCTGGTCCTGAAGGGGGCCACAATGAGACACTGATGAAAACTCCTCACGCTTAAGTTCCTGTTAAACACAGCTGCCTCCTTCATAAAAAACATGAAGACAAAGGAGAGCTTCTATCATCTAAAACCGAGCAGCCACGCTGTCAGCCTCGTCTCAGGATCAGGCGAGCATGCCCGTGCTGCTATCAGCATGGAACAACAGTGTCTTACTGTGTCATCTTTAGTGGATCAGGGGATTACACACTCAGGGGCTGAGCCTGCCTTGTTGTCACTCTTACTAAATTAAAGCACCTGGACATCAGAGGAAGTTTGCAAAGTTTATCATCGCATGTGCAGAAGAGCTGGTATGCGTCATGTTACGTTGTACAAAATCTTATCAAATGCACAGACTCGGTGCGCCGCTTCCCTAGAACAATGTACAAAACCATCTCTGAATAACCTTCATATGAGTGCCTTCCCCAACTATTTGCCCTCATCCATCCATTTCTGATTACAAACGGCTGAAAGCGCTGGTGTTAATTTGGGCAGCGGAGTCCCTGAGCAGGCGGCTGCTCGGTGGACGCATGGCTAAGTAATGAGAAAAAGCTTGAAATGGCTAAAATTGCAATTACACTTTAATGTGATGCCCTGAGAGAGACAGCTTTAGCTCTCTTACAGCCTCTTGTGAGGTTTGAGCAGTACTTTGTTCTGTCAGGCGGTGCGCTGCGTGGTGTAGTGGCCGTTCATGCCATATGACCTACTTCCTGGACTAAAGGAGAGATTAGCAACAACTCCACACTGCCCTGACAAGGTTAAGACTACACACACACACACACACACACGCGCGCACACACACACACACAACGTGGTCTTTGACTTCTGCCCAGCCTCCCGAGCAAAAGATAAATAAATAGACAAGAAGAACGCAAAGCCAGGCAGAAAATTACTGCAAAAACACAGGTTCTTTTCAGAGAGTACTCATCTGTTATATATCCTCTAGCTGCTCCCAGTGACGTCACGATGTCAGGGATTAAGATAGCAACAGATGTACAACTACTAGCTGCCTTTGGCTGCCACTGTGCTCGGTTTTATTCGTGATAACCGGAATGGAATGGCTTGTATGAAACTAAAAACAGAACCTGTTACACACAGCTACCATCAGATTCACAGATTCTCTCAGCACCAACAGAAACAAACAGCCTGGGGTACCAGGGTGTGGATTCTCAGAGCCAGCACACACACACACACTGTGTTGTGACCATAACCGATGACTTTTTGTTAATGGACCAAACTGATTACATTTTTTCCTGTCTGGGATATTGCTGAAAATGAGATTTTTCAAATATTTTTGGCCCTGTCACCAACCTCCTCATAGACCAGCCTTATTTAATTAGTTCATAATGCAAGCATGCAGTGGCAGGAGAAAGTGTGGGAAAGTGCTCTGCATCCATAAATGCTAATTAACACCACAATGTTCACATGACACTATGAGGAGATATGTTGTCACAGAATTAATGAGGATGGTAATGAACAAAAGCGAAATGCTCAGCTAAATCATTAAAATAAGCCTGGTAACAGTAGATTTATTATTTGCCTTAGACATCAAGTGTACAGCACCTGTCATCAGCTGCGTGAATGTATGTAAATGAGAGTTAAAGAGCGTGAAGCAGCAGCAGGCCGGAAACAATGCACAAGGATGAAGGGGTATAAAGCGTTACATTAATCTTCAAAGACATACTTACAAGGTACCGCTCGGAGGTAGAGGTTCTCTCTGATGACCTGCTGGAGTTGGCTGTCCACTGAGCCGGGTGTGAAGCACTTACTCAGATATAACCTGAGATCCTTGCACAATGTGGAGCCTGAGGGGAGGGAAAGCAAAAAACAAACATGGCAGAGAGAGGTGGGGGGGGGGAGAGAGGCACAAACACAAATCAGCTCAGTGGTCTTTCAGCAGCCCCATGCTACACGTTCACATGCACCCTATAATTGAACACTTCACCACCTAAGGCCTCACATCCACACCTGCTCGTCCTCCCCATGCCACTTTTCCGGTGATTCTGACTGTGAGACACACGTGCACGCTGCGTGCCGGGGTTAACCGCTGCAGACACGAGAGTCGTCCCCGAAGAAGGCAGAGTTGATCAGCCTCGGTTTAGCTTCCTCTCTGCGAGCTTTTAATATAATCTCAAGTGCTTTATGGCGTCTGATGACAGACCACTTGGGTTATTGATGGCCTGAGCGCGTTCTGCCTGTCACCCTGACGGACGAGCGCCCTGCCGGCTCTTCCCCTGCAGGCTGCCGGCGAGCCGTCCCCGCCCCTGACACCTCTGTGCAGCCTTTTGTCTCTCTACAGCAGCTAAGTCCAGAGGAGGATGGGATTTGCCGTGCGCTCGGGGAAAAATGTCAGTGTACGGGTTGGTAATTGGGGGCAGTCGGCTGCGCGTAATTTAGCAGCGCTCACACATGGCTGCTGCCTGCACAGGTAAGAATTGATCTGGGCTGCTGCCTTTTGGTGGAGGGGGGTGGGGGGGGGGGGGGGGGGGATGATGATGGCTTCATTGAACGCATTCTGAAGCAGCAAGCTGCCAGAGAGCAAAAGCCAGTCCTGCAAATGAGCTGCCTGGATGTCAGAGAAAAGGGAACACCAGGCTGAGCTGCAACAAAGCCTCTTTTAAAGTTGAGGGGTTTGCGATTTCCGTGTCCAGAATTCCAAACCTCAGCAGTCACACCTATCCTTAAGGGAACACCGCCTGGTGTCCCCTATTTGAAGGTTGGGGCAGAGGGAGTGGTTGGAGTTGTAGTAGTTGCAGCAGGATGGGGATGAAGAGGAGGAGGAGGAGGAGGAGGCGTGCAGCAGCAACCCAGCGCATTGACACATCCATCACTGTCCACATAACATGCAGTCAAGCTGCCAGGGGAGGGCCAGGAAGACCTCAGAGCTTATAATGGATCTACCAGCAGCAGCGGGTCCAGGAGCAAAGGTCTTCATTTACGCCCTTGCGGCCAAATCAGCTATCAATCTAGCAGGCAAGGCTATCGGTCGCATCAGTCAGGTGACACGGCGGTGACATATAGGCCCGTTTGGAGCCGACAAAGATATCCGCTTCCCGGGCTCCCCCCGTTTACGACATCAAGGCCTCTTGCGGGTGAGCGAGAACTGTATCAACATAACTGTTGTCATGCTTCATCGTTATTTTCTTTTTTCTTTTTTTTTTTAACCCCTACTCTGACACGGAACGGCTACCTTGACATCGACACACTAATTGACATGTTCGAATCGGCTTCGCGATGCCACAAGCTGCAGATGCGGCCTGTGAGAGTCAAGGGGGAGTTTACTGAGCAAGATTATGATGGATGACAGCTTAGACGGCAGTGTAACGGATTGTTTGGGTGTAGACTGATTAAACATTTGCTGTGGTGAGCGGCATGAATAGCAAAACTGCAACAAGTTAAATAGTCTGAATATGCAGTGTCATTTATGCCACTGTAGTCAATCACACCCTAATAGATATATATAGATATATATGTAGAGAGGGAGAGAGAGAGAGTGCTAATTGAATCAGAAGACAGTATACATTAGCATATATTCACAGGAAAAGTACATATATGCAAAAGAAGACCACCAACTTTAGATAGCAGGCACAGAAGCAATGTATTTTTCACCATAAAAAGCTTAACAATGGATAGATAAGCAAATCCGTTTCTCAGAAATAGCTCAGGATAATAACGTTTGGACACGCAGCGGTTCTGAATAGTTCTTAAAAATCATTTCACTGGTAACTCAATAAAAGACCTAACAGGAAATCCAAACCCTTCCAATTGAACATTAACAAGGGAGGACAGATTCAGGAACAGAGTGGAAATGTCCACACTGTCCACTATGTCCACTATCTACCCTGAAACCTAATCTTTGGTTTGGTTTGCATTTTTTGCTATCCCCAAGATATATGGGATTATTTGGACCTGATATGTTTAATAACTAGCCATGGCACCGGTAATCTTTTCTCATATAGCCGCAGTGAGTTTGTCGTTGCATTCAAAACGTGTCTTTATGTGGATCGTACCTGGTGACACAGTTTTGACACGGATCGGGTGGGGGCAAGAGTTGAGGACACCGCGAACGTCTCCTAACGTCATGCCTAGCACGGGTGTTCCCCCGACCTCCAGGATGATGTCACCCACTGAGAAGCCGCCCCCCGGAGCTGATGTGATGAAAGGAAACTCTCCATAATCCGCCCCTCCACCGACGGCGAGCCCCAGCTCCCCCGACGTGCCCTGCAAGGGGACGAAGCTGTCCTGCACCTTGGAACGCCAGTGCAGCTTCTTCACTGCAGTCTTAGACATGGCAAAAGAGCTGGAGAGAGAAAAAACAAAACGAGGACAGAGACTGAGCTTGAAAAAAAAAAAAGTCAATTACTTATTAAGCAATGGAAAGAACCTGTGACTTTATATCACTTAACCTTTGCAAGTTATCGGCATCTACAGTCTGAGGAGGCGCGGTATTTCACACCCGGGTGTGTAAAACTCATGAATAATTTCAGCCGTATAGGTTAGGAAATCCAAGCTACGAAAAAACGGCAACTTGAAATTCAGGAATGACACCGCATGGGAACGGCGCCTTTGTTTAATGCAAACACATCCCAGCACAGCACCAACATGCTTGTCGACGCAACACAGCAACACAATCAGACTGTCCCCCCCCCCCCCCCCCCTCATATTCATGGTGCTCGCTAAAGGCCGATGTTTTGTTGATATGTAAACACTCAGAGTAGGATTTAGTGCTCGTTCCAGCACATCTACGGTCACATGGGAAAACAGGGTTTGCATTTGATTAAAGTGGTCGCATGCCTTTCGAGAGGCCAAAAGTTAAGTGTCGTTTTTGTACCCATAATAACCTGACTTTAAAATATAAGGAATTTAGAGACAAGCATCCTTTTTCGTTGCATTGTGCAGACACAACCTCCAACTATCTGCTTTGACACTGTGGGGTTGCATGTTTTTGCAGCTAATTACAGCCGGCTGCGGTTAAGGTGAGAACTCCCGGGGCACGGCTGCCGAGGCTTAAAGCCGAAAATAATGTGTTTTTGTTGCAATATGCTTCCTGAAGAGCAGCTGTGAGAGAGCAGGGCTGTGGGTGAGGCTGACGTGGTGAAGACTCGTTTGAGCGGCCTGTGATGTGACAGCTGTGATGCAAGAGAACAGACGACTCTCCTCTGACATGATCAGAGCAGCACTGTCACCTCAACACACAGGACGGCGGAGACACACACGGCAGGATATCAGGATCAAAAAGACAAACGACACGTTGAATAAAATACAAAAGAAAAAAAAAAAAAAGCCTGCCGTTGAAGGAGCAGTTTGAATGTGGGATTTCTTTAAAATGAGATGATTGATGTCACTGGAACGCCTTTTTCTCTCACACAGACAGTCACTTTTCTCTGGAAGTCAGGTCTCTGAGGTGGGAAAGTAATTGCCCCTGATTTGACCCTGTTCCAAAGGGAAGCCTAAAACCAGTTGGATAGTGGTTTGTAACTTTTTTAATAGCAGTAAAAGCTGATAACAACACATTGCTGTCTGTTTTATCCATGTGAACATTGTGGTAGTCTTTTTTAAAAGGCTGAGAGGCAGAAACATTCGAATTTGAGAGACACGATCTAAAACAGCTATCACAATTTTCATGGTTGGTTAGGTAGAGGCTGGTGAGTTTTCTCAGACTTTGTAAGTGGGAAATCTAACTGAGATCAAGTTTTTTTTCTAATGGGAAATCAATATTTGTTTATCGTAACATGAGAAACTAACATATTGTCCTAACATCCATTGTTCGCAGGTTACATGTAAGAAAGTAGCCCAACCAAAAGGATAACGGATTCTTTGAGCTTCACCTGGATAGTCGCCCCTGTTCCCAGATTTGATGCTAAGCATAAATAATATAACAGTTTTAGAGCAGTTCTGTAACATGTAACTATTAGTCTTTACTCATAAATACTCCTTTAAAAAGTAATCTTCTAAATGGAAAATCCAGATCTCCAGTCCTGGAGATTAGCAATGACTTTCCCAAGTTACAATCTTCTTAAATGAAGTGTGAGAGTAACGCGTCAACTTTCTATGACCCCTTGGATGGACAGGAATAACGCGCCCCGGGTGGAACTCCAAGCTCAAACCCTGTTCAGAGGCCTAATAAGACTGATTGAATGGGTGTAAGGGGAACAGGATATATCTAATCCTCTCCACTTGACAGGCAATCTGACAGATGCCCTCCACCCCCTAAGGTAAAGAAGTCAGGTGGTTTATTTGACCAGACAGGGATGGACCAGTGAGAAAAAGGGAAGAAGTGTAAAATGAGTATAAAAGCAGAACAATGTCACACTGAAATATGAATTGCTTGTATTTTTCCGCCCTGCACTCAGAGAGCGATGAGAGAAAGAGAGAAAAAAAAAGGGAATCACAGAGGTCAGAGAGAAAGAGGGAGGTAGTGCACAGCCTGAGGTTGGCACAGGACTCGCTTCTTTGACCTTGCTGGAGTGCAGCTCATCAAACAGGAGCATAAACTAGAAAATACGGCTCAGGGTTTGGTATGGCGTGCGGATCTTAAAAACAAACCGCTTGCATTTCTGTGTCACATCACAGGTACCACAGCCAGAATATGGTCCCCGAACGTTTCAGCGAAAGGAAATCAATCCGGTAGAGCTGCGTCTTTCAGCCCCGAAATGATCCTGCTCACATTATCCTTGCCAACCGGTGGCCCTCAGTCCCTCTCTGCTCTGTCTGCCCCACTGTGAAACCTTCTGCGGCAACACTGTTCAACCTGCTCCCCCAAAGCCAGCCAGCCATCTGCCCACGCGCCTCCCCGAGCAGCGCCACACCGGTTAAAACGGGCGGTCAGAAGGGGGGGAAATATCACAAAAGGAACTTTAACCATTTAATCTTAAACAACTATGGCCCCTGTACATCAATCCTGAGTGATAATTCTATAAGCCCCTCGGGCTCTTCGTGCTTTCTCTAAAGATTTCTCCGAACTTGTCAGCGGTAAAGATTAAAATGCTAAAAATAAAGCAACTGATAGGTTTTTCAGAGTATTATCCTCTCGCGGGGCGCGCAGATACATTGTGTGTCTGCATGATATCGGACGGAGGCGGAGCGTGTCTCTGTCTGAGATGTGGCCGTCGTCTGGACCCCCCTGCGTCTGACGGGGGTTTAATGAGGCCCGGCCTGTCTCCGGTGTTGGTGTTGACGCCACAAACAGGGCCTGCACACTCATCCCGGACACACACACACACACACACACACACACACACACACACACACAGCACCAGGCTGTCGTGGAGGTACCGGAGAGACGTCCTGCTTCCCCGCTGACCTCAAACTCACGTCGCAACACTAATGGCATTCGGCGTATTAGTTGAGTTGAGTAATTTCTAAAGTATGTCGACTTGCGCATAATCAAACAGAGCTGTCACACCGCATATCCTCAAAGTTAATAAGTGACATTTAACTGATGAGAGGGTACGATGATGACCTCACATTTACTGACTCATTCTGCTTCGAATTAAAGCGAGACTCAGTCTCTGCAGCTGTGCTCGCAGCCATGCCGTGCACTACACGGGCATAGAACCCTTTTATTTTGATTTTTTTGGGGCTAAATGAGCTAAACATTGGAGACATTGCTAACAGGCTGGCATTTAGCAAATGCAACGTTTCCTTTCGTAGTTCAGCGAGTTAAAATGTGGTTAAAATGAGTGGTCTCAGACAACAGCAATCTGTCCAGCTGCAACCACAATCCAGCTGTTCATCTGTGCTGTCGCACGTTAAATATGTCTGCGTTAGAGATGTTGACCAGAAGCCACTCCTGTTTGCAAAAGGCTTCCATGGACTATACATGTGTATCCAGAATTTGTTCATTTTTGCTTTCGATGTCTGGTTGACATATGCAGATTGGTCCAAGAAATGAGGAGCGTTTATTCAGACGTGTAAAACGAATCAGGAAAACATCTTGAATGTCAGCTATGTGTTACCTCGCTCCATTTTCTACCTGGCATGATCGCACGAATGATGTTTAGAAACAATATAGAGAGTGCAGTGCAGTTCGTGCTGTCAGCATTGGTAATATCTGTGGAAAATATACAATGGAAGGTCATTTTATCAAGTTTTTTTTGCCACTAATATAACCAACACTGCTACTCATCTTAGTAATAGTGGAACTTCACAAAGTCTCACATTATGGGAGACTTGGTCATAATATTTGTGTAACTTCCCTTTGCAACAGACGACCCAGAAGCTGTAATGGTATTTGCATTTGTAAAACAGAGATTGCCTTAACCTCCTGGGACTCAGCGTTCTCATACAAGGATATTGGATTTTTGCCTCTCTGTACCGCAAGGCTTTTTTTTTTTTAAGTATGACCTATTGGCCTCATAGTAGACACCATCAGGCACTAATGTTTGAAGTTTAGAATAGAAAGGTCTATACATTTTCAACCAATCATCTCCTCATTGTCTAACTCAACTTTTGTATTTGAGTAATTTGGACCTTTAGAGCCAAATCACAATAAATACACATTTAGATACAAAAATAAGCCCACTGTCCCTATATGAGGAAACTGGACCTTTATCGTAACGGAGTCTAGTTATCAAACTTATTAGGACCTACTTATCCCATATGATTTCATACATGCACACCATGAAAAAGATTGGCAGCATGTCCGGGGGGTACCCTGCCTCTCGCATTATGACCCCCTCAAACTGAAAGTTAGTTGAATTTGAAAGGTCTCTCATTATGTATGATAGAATCTTTAATTCTGAGTAGCTCATTATTCACCACAGGACTGTTTTGGCTGTCTGGGTTCGGTCTCTTGCCTCATCAGACAACCCCTTTTAGCCTTTTGTCTGGACCAAAAAAGCTCCCATTTCGCAAACGGATGTTTTGAGTCAGCCAAAATAACATGAAATGTATGCCTTGTGCAAACGCCTTTGTCAAGTCCTTTGTCAGTCGATACCTATGTTTCTGCTGATTGGGTAAAATATCATCTTGAATCAGTCCACTCTGTGGGGTGAAATGATTTGGATGGAATAATCGGCGGTTTCAAAAATGAAAAACAAGAGAGCCCGCTGTTAACAAGCTTTGTTCTGCTGCGTAGAGATCTTAAAACGAGGAGTGAGTGAGAGCTATGTAACAAACTCAGGGGCGCAATCAACTTGTTTTCAATTCGCAACACGCCTAAAACACCAAAGCAGGTGTGCTGACGCGGCTACTTAAAATGCCATTCCAGGTCTGGTAGTGAAGCTGGTCTTTAGAGAATGGAGGAGCCATTTTTCAATGTATAGTGTTTCATATTTGCATCATTCCTCTCAAAACCTC